TTTTTTCAATCAAGAATTTTTTATTTTATTTTTGTTTTACAATACATAACATCAGTCCAACATATCAGTGACAAAGGTTCACGTGTGATGGCAAGATATGGACATTTAGCGTCCTCAACACGTTCGCTATATAGGCACTGCTCTGGTAGGAGCAGCACACAACGGGTTAACACAAACAGTTACTAATAAACATTTCTGAGGTCATTAATCTAGTTGAATTAGTGAACTTCTAATACTCTAGATGTAACAGAAAGAAGTGTAAACATTTGTGGGGGGCCGCGTACCCACTCCGGGAGTCATGTCTGTGTCTGTGAGAATCTTGCAAAGCCTCATGGGATTCGTAGTTCCACCACAGCTGGAGGGCCGCAGTTTGGACATCCCTGGTTTACATGGAGCGGCAGGGTTAATTTTAACCCTGCCGCTCTGCTCCTCGTATAGGCGGCCAATGTGTAGAGAGACTCGGAGGCAGGGGGAGGATGGAGCCTGGAGGATGGAGCCAGCGAGAAGTAGGTGCGGGGGAGGTGTTTTCAAATGATTGCCGGCGGCTTCTATCGCTCTACATTTAGCTCTGCTTTCCTAAAGCCAGGCTAAATGTAGAAAACAACCTAGCGCCTGGACAGGGTCGTCCCGAGGCTGGGTGACACCCGGAGCAGTGTCCGAGTGTCACCCCGCCGAGACGTCACCGCGCATGCACGGGAGTATTCTGATAGAGAGAGGAGAAGACAGCCACCCGGCGGGATTAGGTATGCGGCCGGGTCCCCTCCTCTCTCCTGATACTGTCGGGCGTTCGGTCCATGACCGAGCGGCTGACTTTTCAGAGGGGGGTGACACCAAAATGACTGTAAGTCATTTTGGTGTCATCCCTCCAATGGTGTCACCCGGGTGCGGGCCGCACCCCCCTTGTGACGCCACTGCGCCCGGAACTACATGTTCCGGCCACGGGGGATTTCACACCGCTGCCGCCCCTCTGCTCCCTGCTCCTGGGCCTCGGTGGCCTTGTGAGGAATCCTGGCCCTGGCTACCAGGGTGGCAGAGGTTGCAGCTGGGACCCGGCTCTGGCGCTCCACCACTGTCCTGATATCATTAGTCTGTATTGTTTTAGAAAAACTGTCACATGACAATAAACACAAATGTATCAGTACTCGTACTTGTAAGTACTCGGCAAGTACCAGTACTTGTATCTGGTCTGGAAAAATGATATCTGTGCATCCCTAATATATATAATTATACAACAAATGATACATTATAACAGAGATGCCCAAATCCCGGGAGCTCCGTGTGCTCCTTACACATGACAGCCGCCTCCTAACTTCTGAATTTTTCTCTAGTCTAGTCTTGGAGCTGGAAAAGTACCTGTACTTGTACTTGTACCGGGCATGGTACTTGGTATCTGAACAACCCTATGTAGCGATCTCACCCCTGCGCCGGGTTCCGGCATCTCCAGGAGCTCCGTCGGAGTTCGGGCGACGTCACCGGACTCCTCCTTCCTCCTCTCCTCAAGCCGCCGGAGCCACTTGCCTGGCGTTCGTGCTAGGTGCCTGACGCCAGGGCAAGTACCTCCGCGGCAGTACAGCAAGGACCCGTATATTGGGCCGGACAGAACCATCCAAGCCACTCCACTTCCCTGCTCTCTGACGAGCCTCTCTCCAGGGACATCACCTCGTCCACTCCTCTCCTAAAGCAGCCAGGAAGTGGATACCCGCATTTCCTCTCAGAGCCGTTGGGTGGCACCAGAGCTCCTCCGAATCACCAACGGCGACTATCACATAACTCAATCAGCTGCTCTCACTGAACTGTGTTTTATCTGCCATACAACTCGCTGACACTGAACTGTTTGCTGACCACCCTATCCGTGATTGTGAAGTTACCTTGTACGTAGCTGTTAAAGGAGAACTATGAGGGGGGGGGGGGAGTGCTTTCCACTCACCTCATAGTGCTAGCCGACCTGTGACAATGAGACTGTCACAGGTCGGCTCAGTAGATCGGGAGGTGAGCGAACACATACCGGCGTTCGCTCACCTCTCGATCCTGTCACAGCTCTCTGCCGTGACAGGGGACGGGGGAGGGGGCGGGTACAGGACAGGACGGGTACAGCTGCAGGTGCAATTTCATTTTTATGGGGTTCTCTTGAAGGCAGACAGAACAGCACTCTCATCACGGTGGGGGCTCCTCACACATTATAATTGATCTGTACATTGCTATATTGGATAATTCAATCTGTTTCTGTGATCGGGGAGCACGGAGTTGATGCTTACATTAACAAACACAGCGTTGATGTATCCGGGAGTCCCCCGCACGCTCAGTGCCGACATCAGAACCGGACGCCAATGGTCACCTGCGGACAGAGAGAACAATAGAAGTGAGGAGACATTACAGCAAGTGGTCCACACATAAACTTCAGTCATGGCTGGTTTCCTGCTCTGGATGGAGCGTGGAAAGGTTAGAACCTCTGTCAGGATTTGTTATGGAAAGTCACTCTACTGGTTCTTGTAGAAAAACCAAAATATATAAGGGGTGTCACCGAAGCAGGAGTGAAGGGGAAGGCCTTATTGGGGACACCTGTTCCAGTGACATCTATCAGAAGTGGGATTGTTACTCGATTCATGTCATGTGTCTGAGTCAAGAAGTAGAAGCAAATCTCCCCTTAGGGGACATGGCAATAAAAGCCTGATAGGGGTCCAAACTCTGCCAAACTCCATCCAAAAGCTGTCATTTTACGTAATGGTTAGGATATCAGGGTTGGTCAATGGTGGACATATCAGATGTGCAGCCCGACCATGCGCACAGAGACCTCTGAGGTCCTGGAGCCCATTGCAGGTAGGAGCTGCCCTTTAATAGGCCCAAGAACCCCAGTGGTGCCTACATGAAAAGAACATTGACTGTCCTCCAGGCCTGAGGGCAGTACCTGCCAATACCCTCATAACTGCGGCACAGACGGTGCTGGGGCGGAATGAGCATGTTCGTTTTTATTTCTAAGTAAGCATTTATGCTTAATGGTGAACGGTGTGTTTATCTACTGTGACCATCCTTATTATTTGTTTGCGTAGCCCCTTGCTTCATGAGTCAGTCAGTTTATAAATCGGAAGCATTTCATTTAATTATATATTGTATA